ATGAGCTAGTTTCTGATCTTGCACTTATACATAAATTGCTGCACTGAGCTACTTTTTTTTCATTACCTCAAGGGAAAATGATGGCATAAAAGGCTCCAAGAGACATGTGAGAAGATACACTATTCCAACTGATGTTTTCATAACCACGGAACAGGAAGTTCGATCTTCCTTGTAAAGCTTCCAAAATTGGCTTTCCTACATGGTCAATTATGAGTTCAGCAAGTCTTCTGCTTAGATGACAGAACAGAGGACTGCCTAATGATAGCAGGAATTTAAATGAACTTCTTATTTGGCTTAACAGGTAATAAGCTACTATATCTTAGATAATCAATAAATATAGTGTATGAAATTCCAAAAAAGGGGCATACTTGTAAATAAGCATTTCCTTCTCCAGATATAGACATAGCAATCTTCAAGCCTTGCTTTAGTTTCACCTACATCGAATGCCAATTGGAATGTTATACACAATGAAATAGGTCCATGCAGCATATATATGTGTGCAAGTACAAAATAATGGGGGCATTAGGCATTGGTTACCTTCTCCATTGCTTCAATATACTGCTCAACATAACTACTGACTTTCTCTCCCAGTACTTTCGTCGATGGATGAGATTCTGCACCCTGAGCATCAGGAATGATGGAACCATATCCTGAACCTGAAATAATGAAGAGACGCATGACAAATCACATAACGATCTTTGATATTAAAACAGTACCCATTCTCAAGACAAATACGGGGAACGCCTAAAACCCAACAGAAATTTGAGCTCTTGTAGGAGTCCCAAGAATTAGCAAAAAGCACATAACCCCATTCTCATGAAAAAATGAAGAATATAGCAAGAGTAACTATTAGCCCGACCAATAAAATTATTCCAAACCTAGTCCTACAGTATCATCTAAGCAGTGGGAGAGCCAGAAATTCAACAATGATGGAGTCAAAAAAAATGTTGGAGGAGCAAAATTTAAATGTATTTTGTATATAAAAAAATCAAAATTTCTACAAATAGATTTAAAGAAAAATTGAAAATGCTGTGGGATAAATCACCACCCTCCACCCCTGTAGCTCTGCCACCGCACCTAAGTACTTCCCAGCATCATATATAGTCCTTCGTTCGTAGACAAACAATAATGAAACATATCAAAGACCAAATTTCATATCAGAGGATTTGTAAACAAAAGAAGATAATGCACCTGGTTCTTTTGCAATGAAACTTAAGACTCGATTAATGAAATTTCCTAGATTGCTCAGCAATTCACCGTTCAACTTTGCTTGCAAATCAGTCCAAGTGAACAATGTATCCGATACCTAGAAAATGTAAATTTATTTTAATCGTCAATGGCAAAGCACACATCCAGATATATCTGCCTCATAGGAGACAGGTGAGATAATGGTCCAGAGTCATATAATATTATCAGGTAAGATGCAGTACCAAGGGTTTACCTCTGGCCTATTTGTCAGCAAGTAGTATCTCCATACTTCCACAGGAATGTTTGTGTCTTTTGCATCATTTCCAAAAACGCCGACACCCTTACTCTTCGAGAATTTCCCTACCCCGAAAACCATGAAAACAATTTGACACGGGTAAACTCAATTTCAAAAAATATTATGTAAGAATCATCATATATGCACTTCTCAACAAATTATGTGCAGTTAACTAACCTGCTTCATAATTCAAGTATTCTGTAACACTGATGGTCTTCATCAAAGTCCAGTTTTCAGCAGTGCCAATAAGTGTAGATGGGAACATCACCTGAAAAAGTTATAGACCAGTACATGGTTTACTTTCTCTGCAGTATGGATTAAAACTTTCATAATTGAAGAATTTACAAACTAGAATTTGTAACCTCTGACAGCCAGAGTCCTAGTATCTATATTTACTTATATTATGAATTTATGTGCTCGGATTGTCAAGTCAGCGAAAATCAGGAAATATACAGTTTACAGCATCTAAAACAATACCCAAAACTCATCTTTTCCTCTTCACTTTGAAGCCACAGACTTTACTTCTCCAAAAACTGAATAGAAGTGAAAACTCTTATTTTCCACGGTAATTAGGCACAAGAATTGAGTTTAATCACACTTCGAATCCTTAAAATCCACTCTTCTATGTCATTTTTGAGTTACCGAAGCATGAAAAATCAATGTTTAAAATTCTCAGTCTAGATTTTATCTGTGAGGCGATGTGCAAGCCTCAAAGACAAACCAATAAAATTATTCAAGAGAATAAGAGGTACAAAATCATGCTTATAATAAACCATAATCCATCTTGAAAATCCATAAGAAAACATTAAAAAGAAATCAATAGTATAACTGACAAAACAAGCATAAAATAGATTAAATAATAAGTTCTCATTTCTCAAATTCATAATAACTCAACAAAATTGAAATATACTACTAGAAGTAGAAACGATATAAAAATTTCCTATATTGTTACTACTTAACAATCCTTCAGAAGAGTCTAGTTAATCCTATTTATTATATGTAACGCCAAAAATTATAGAAATCCGTGCACGAAGAAGCCAACCTCCATCACCTACAACAAGAGTCTAGTTAATAGTTAATTCCGTCAATTGCATATGTTGAAAATCCAATGTCGTTCATTCATGCATCTACCTTTTATTTACAACAACTCCTTGCAGCTACCAACAAATTTTGTCTCAATCCCCAGAAGAAAACACAAACTCGGTTCTATCCCTTAAATGAGGTACTTCCCCATTTAAGAAATTCACCCCAATTTCACTGCTTCCCTTTAAACGGATCAAAGTGCTAAGTATAAAACCAAATTCTACAGTTCAAAGCCTTAATCTGGAAAGAATATACTATCTTGAAAGAAAATTATACTTATGTTCGTAACAATGTAAACAATATGTTTTTACAGCTGATCGCCTGAAGTTGCAGAATAGAAGGAGCAACAAAGCTTTGCTTGCAATCTAATAGTATACACACTTTTTGTATAAGAAATACAATTTGGGTGGGTAAAAAACTATACTTCAGCCATGCCCACTACAATGACGAGATAAAAAAAGGCTGCATTTACGGCTGTAACTTATAACATATCATCATCAATCGTTCTTCTAGCAACAGGCGCAAACACCAAACTAAAAGCATTTGAGCAATGCATTAAGGTAACCATAAACTGAAAAGGCAAATTCCAAGTTGCACGAAAATATCATGGAAAGCTAATATCAGGTAAAAGTTTTGACCAAAATCACGAGGGTATAAACTTGTGCTACAATTGGACAACCCAAATTTAAAATTTTGAATGTAGTAACTTACAGTATGAAAAGGCACATTATCCTTGCCCATAAATTGATACAGCTCTACATTTTCAGGATTCTTCCACCATTTCTCCCATTCTGGTGTGTAGCATGAAGTAATCGAGACATATCCAATAGGTGCATCAAACCATACATAGAATACCTAACCATCAAAATGAGACCGACATTGTCACTATGTATGTGATAGATAAGCATCAAAATAGCTAATTCTAAGCAACTGAGACCACTGATTACATGATAGTAAATGTTTCAACAGAAAGTAATTTCACCTTGTCCTTGAACTTCTCGTGCGGAACAGGAACACCCCATTTCAAATCTCTTGTGATACACCGCTGTTTCAGCCCTTCTCTAAGCCAGGCATGCGTTGATTGGATGGCATTTTGACTCCAGCCTCCAGCCACTGACATGTTGTTTATGTATTCTTCTAATTTATCCTTCAGCAGAGGAAGCTCAAGAAACAAGTGGTTTGTATCTTGGATACGTGGAGTATTACCACAGACCTGTCCATAAAGCAAGCCAGAGTCCAGATTCAACTCCCTAAAAATTATTAAAGAAAATAATTTGTATCTCTTATTCTTGATGAAGGTTTGTAAATTGTTAAAACCTTCTCTATTTACAATATTGTTATTTTGGAAAATGAAGTTGATCAACCCAAGACTATCATCAACCCAGCGAGGACACATTAAGTAATGAGATTGTCTGTTCATCAGATAATCCATGTGATCTAAATGAGTTGTGAACAAAAATATAATGAGCGCACCTTGCATCTTGGCTCTAGTAATTCTGTGGGATTTAAAAGCTTCCCACACTTTTCACATTGATCTCCACGTGCAGAATCATAATTACAGCCAGGAGTTGGACAATTACCCTCCACAAGCCGATCAGCCAAAAATCTTTTGCATGAAACACAGTAGAGCTGCAGAGAGAATAGAACTTAGTTGATGAATGATGCCTGAATTCACTTGTCTGTACTAAAGCAGAAAAACAAGCACAGGCACTAAAAATATGAGATAGTATAACACCCTGAACTCAAAGAACTATATAGGTGGCACGTGTGATAATCTTGCACCTGCTGCATTGTGTTTTCAGAAAGCCAGTTATTCTCCAGCAGCTTCTTGAAAATTGCTTGGCAAACTTCAGTTTGCTGCGGACTTGATGTGCGCCCAAACTCATCGAAGCTTATATTGAACCACTTATATACCTCTTTATGAATAGCATGATATCTACAAACCAAATATTATTATGAGCAGATATAAAATTAAAACAGGTCCATGCACATTCAATTTTTAAGTCAAATCAATAATGCTTTCATATGTTGACACGTTCATCCATCACGAAATGATATTTTCTTTAAATTGAAATGATATAGAATTCCAACAATAAAGCAAATGGAGAAGTCAACTTTCTACCAGTAACATCTCTCAAGCATAATGAGATGGCATAAGTGTCTAGATGCATTGACAATGTAAAAGTATACCTCAAGACAGACTGCTAACATCCATTGTTCCTTTACATCATAAAAGATCAATCTTTTAACTAGATTAAAAATTATGCATGTTCGATAAATAAATGATTTCTTCTCTCATTGCATCAATAGAAAGCCCACTATACACAAAAATCAAAGGGGTTCAAGATCCTTCTGTCCAGGTTCACGGATATATATAACACATAGATAGATCAAGGATATGCAAATGCAAAGCCTCTAAAAAGGTAAGAAAACAGTATATTTTCCTTCTAGCTTAAGCTCTAGAATCCCTTTCCTATTTTTTTCCATTTTTCTTTTTCTTTTTCCTTTTCATGTCTTTCTATATAAAAGAATGCACCAGTTGTGGTACTCAAGTTGATACGATAAGGGAAAACATATCAGTGAATCAATTCTTCAGAAAGGGACATGTGCATAATCCAGGTTCATTGTCACTAGAAGTAAAAATGTGTTCTTTCTCAACATCAATCCTATAAACAAACTGTAAAAAATATTAGAAAATATTTGTATTTTCATTTTCAAAAAAAAAAAGTGCCAATAAAAAAGGACTCCGTTTTTTTTCTAATCAAACCCAATTACATTTCATATCCATAAAACACATAGAAAGTACAGATATATTGAAATTCAAAACAAATCAGAAAATGCAAGAAATGCATTCCAATCGAGAAAGGAAACGAAGAATTTATCAGAACCCGCATATAGCAATCGATTGCATTACTTGTCACAAATTTCTTTTGGAGAACAATTCTCCTCCAACGCCTTAGTCTCAGTGGCTGTCCCGTACTCATCCGTACCGCAGATATATATGGCATTATAACCTCTATTTCTACAGTACCTCGCGAACACATCCGCACTCAACACACCTACAGAATCAAAAACAAAAACCCAGAAAAATACAAATCATTTCACCCATTATAAGCACAAATATGTACTTAATTGGGGAAAAAAGATAAGATAATTACATCCGATGATGTTGCCGAGGTGCGGCACGTTATTGACATACGGCAGCGCGCTTGTGATGAGGATATTCCGCTTCCCAGGAATCGGAACCTTCTTGGCGGCGGCGGCGGAAGGAGCATGATCACCCATATTGGAAGGCTTGTTTGCAGACTGGCGAATAGAACGAAAGAATACAAATTTGGACAGTTTCAGCGTCGAATAGGGTTTAGAGGAAGTTGAGTCGAAATTATTCAAAATGGCCTTCTTGCAAACCTTTAGGGCGTGCTTGATAGTTTTTTTTTTTTTTGAGTGACATCTTTAATGATTAATTTTGGGCGATTTAAAAAATATCCAAAATTTGTGAAGTTTAGAGGTTGTTCTCTTCGTATTTCAATTTTTCGTTTTTAGTTTTGAATTCATTTTGAGTTTTGTGTTTTGAGTTTCTATTTTGAGATTGTTGAAAATTTGTTCTTTTTGTCATTTTGAAAAATTATTTTAAAAAAGAAAATGTTTTGGCTTGCTTTTAACTGAAAACAGCTAAGATGATTTATTTTTTTTTTTTTTGAGTGACATCTTTAATGATTAATTTTGGGCGATTTAAAAAATATCCAAAATTTGTGAAGTTTAGAGATTGTTCTCTTCGTATTTCAATTTTTCGTTTTTAGTTTTGAATTCATTTTGAATTTTGTGTTTTGAGTTTCTATTTTGAGATTGTTGAAAATGTATTCTTTTTGTCATTTTGAAAAATTATTTTAAAAAATGAAAACACCCAAAACTTGTTCTCTCTCTCTCTCTCGGTGGTGGTGTGCGGTGGTTTTTGGGTTGGTGGCACGGTGGCTAGTACAAAATGATCTTGGGTCGGTGGCGTCGTGGTGTGCAATGTTTTGTGTCATCTCGCGGTGGTAGTATGGGTGGTTTTGGGTCGGTGTCGTCTATGTCGTCTCGCGATGGCGTTGTGGCTGTGACGGTAGTTTGGGTCGGTGGCATTGTGGTTGTGGTGGTTTTGGACGGTGGCGTCGCTGGCTTCTTCTGCTTTGGTGGTTTTGGGCGATGGCGTCGCCAGCGATAGCTTTAGCGACGACGGTGACGGTGTGGTGTAGGCGGGGTGTGCAGACAGCGGTGGCGGTAGTTGTTGGTGGCTTAACCGAAAACACCCAAAATGTTTTTTGAAAATTTTGATTTGGTTTTAACTGAAACACCCAAAATGACATTTTTGACATTTTCGATTTTCTTTGTAAATTTTAAACTCGTTTTTGAAAATAAGTAAGTAAACGTGTTTTTACTGTTTTAAAAAATCGAAAACAGAAAATGGGATGAAAACGACAAAAAAAAAACATCCCCTTATTTTTTATTATTTCTCTCAATCTAACAAATCGGTGAGTTTACATCTTTCTTACATTCTCTTCTAATTTTACATTTTATAAAATATTTTTGTTCAATCAATATATTGATTTAAAACTAACTTATAAATAAAAATTTATTTACAAACAAAAAAATTACTTTTTAATAAAAAAAAATTACTTATAAGATCAAAATCACTTTTGTGTAAAAACTTGGTTTGTAAATTAAAAATATTACTAATAAGATAAAAATTTACTTATGAAATATAAAAAAATACTTATAAGTAAAAATTCACTAATTATAAAAAATATTTAAATGTACAAAAAATACTTATAAGTAAAGTATCACTTATAGATAAAAATATTCCTACGAGAAATTATTAATTGAAAATTTCATTAAGTGGCATATAATTTTATTCTTTAAAGAACTTTTAGGACCAGTTGATAATAAATTCTCAAGCATAAATTGAACTCTTTTAAAGTTGCTACTACAAATCACTCAAAAACGATTTGATCATAAACGTTCAAAATAAGTAGTTTAAAAAACACCCACAATCGATACCCTAAAACTCCCAAGCAATTGTCCTTTTTGCCTTTTTATTTTATTTTATGGATTAATAGCAAAAAAACTCCTCTAGAAATGTTTTCTTTTGCAATATGCCCCTACCTATTGAAAATCGCAGAAAACCCACTATTTGAAATCTTTTGTGCTAAAGTCTCCTTGCCGTCAAGATCCGTACTTCACCATTTTCTAGGGACACTGTTACTATTTCTAATAATTGTATATAATGAGTTTTACACGAAATAAAATTTTAATATTATTTTAGATATCTATTAAATTATTATCGAATTATATAATGTAAAAGTATTTACATAAAATTGGAAATTTGCACATATCCACATTAGAATCTTATCATCAAATAGTTATAATTTTTTAAAATTCGATTTTCATGATAAGTTTGTTTGTTGAAAAATCAATGTAAATTTGAATTAAGAGTCCTATTAGAATTCTAATTAGGTGACTACCCTTATCAAATCATACCTATAAATACCCTCTTGTTGTTGCACTTCAATCCACACGAAGAGAGAGAGAGAGAGAAAAGAAAAGATTTTCTAGCATGTTCAAGATTCGTTCGAAAGAATTTTCAGTCCTAAGTAATTCAAGTATACAAGCAATTTAACGAATAAGGTATGAATTTCTATATGCGCCTAGTGGTTTTGTGTTTTTACTTTTTAATATTTTAAGTTAAGTAATTTATGTCTATTATATGATCCAAATTAAAGAATGATCTCGTGGATAATATCATAGGGTATTATTATATAGATCAACATGGAAACTAGTCATATGGTTAAATACTCTAAATGGAGATTGAGAATGAGTATTACCTAAGTGAGAATGAGACGGTCATGTTTATATTCCACTAGAAAAGTTATGTTATGTGCATAATTTACGTGCTTTTTATATTAAATTGTAAAAATATTGACATGAAATCTATACTAAGTGTATTCATCATTCCATATTTTAAATTATTTTTACAGATGCTTGATGGATCGGAATTGGAGGTTGAGACTGCTGACAGAGATCGTGTCGCCAGATCAAGAATTTTAAATTTTTTATTCAATATTTATTTAGTTTAAATTTTTTTTTGACAAATTAGAATTTATTTTCAAATCGATGTTGAAAATAAGTACTAAATTTAAGTGGATTAAATTATTTGACATTTTATAAGATAATAAAATAATTTATCTTATTCCGCATAATTCTTTGAATTTTGTATTACACTAAGAATCAATTACTTTATTTTATGGATAAAGGAATGTTTGAGTAACTTTCAGGACATAAGTTTCGGGGCGTTACAGTATTATATCGAAGCTCAGCTAATACTTTCTGCAGACTTTGTGAAATTAAAATTTTAATTATTTTTATGCATAAAAATTAAATAAATTTTGATCCACATGACATCGGAACCAACATGATCAACTTTTGACTACAATCCAAGGTATGAAATTATTATTTTTTTGAAAAAAAAAATGAAGATTGCTTGAACTTGATATGTCTCTTTAAGTACCAGAATTGTTATAATTGAAATTATCATAAAACGACTTGTGCCGTTGTAGAAACATTTCTTAGATCCTCAAGGTTCATGGTTGGTTATAGTCTCTTGATTTTGTGTAGTACTAAAAAACACGAATTTAGAGATACACGTAAACATAATGCCAACTCAAAGAGACATTATCATGAATTAGATATGGATGCATGACATCACCTTAGATCATAATTATATTCTTATCATGTCATACTACCACTTGTAAAAAAAAAATTGAGAAATTTATTAGCGTATTTGCAAGATTGAAAAGTTTTGTCAAAAAAGAAATTTAACTGTCTAATAAGACGAGCTTGAAATTTATGTGGTCCAGTTGTGATCCCCTCTTCACTTGGAAACAATTTCTGTTGTGCGTTATTCAAATCAACAAAACAAAAAACAATATTGCGAATCATATTTAAGGTATAGATGGCAGCTAACTCATCACGAAAATCACTAGCTGCTATGTGAGAGATGTCGCAGCAGAAATCACCTCAACAACTACAATCCACTAGCTGCTGAAGAATGGCTTCGCTATCTTGAGCATATCTTCGGTTTATGGAATACACCGACGCACAGAAAATCCTTTGTGCGATATTTATGATTGGAAAAGGGAGCATGTCATTGGTGAGAGATGACTACTAGATCCTACACCGAGGAGCAACAATGTAACCTTACATGGGCACAATTCAAATAGATAGTACTTTAGAAGTACTTTCCAACTAATTTAAGAGACAAAAAGGAAGTGGAGTTTCTTGAGCTGAAGCAAGGAACATGACGCTTACTGATTATGAGCGAAAGTTTGATGAGTTATCCAGATTTGCCTCACATCTGGTGGACACAGTGGAGAGACGAGCTCAACATTTTGAGCGTGGATTGAGAACTAACATTATGAAAGCAGTGGCAGTATTCCAATTGGTTACTCATCAGGGAGTTCTGGAGAAGGCTCAAGTATACACCTTTGATAATGACCGGATTGGAAAAGGTAGTAAATAGCAGTCTGGCTCCTCCGACAAGCGCTAATGGTATGACAATATCAAGAGGAATGGTAAAGGTCCTAACAAGAAGGGACGGATTGAAACATGAGCCAACATCAGTGACAAAAATCAACGACCACTCTGTCTTAAATATCGAAAACCTCATAAGGGATAATGCTTGGCAGGAAAATGTGTATGTTATAGATGTGGCAAGCCAAGACACGTTGCCAAAGACTGCACTAAGGGACAACCTAAGAAGGCCGAAGATCAAAAGGTGGGCAAGGCTAGAGTTTTAGCTTTTACACAAAAAGAGGCAAATCGCGACTGCAATGTGGTGGCATGTATTATATCAATCTCTAACATGCATGTTTCATATTAATTGATTTAGTGGCTACACACTTATTTGTTTCTCTGATATTCGTTTCAAAGTCGAATAGAATGTGTACCATTTGATAACAAATTAAAAGTGTCATTACCGTTTGGGGAGGTGCTTAATGTAAATTATATAGCGAGGAACCTATATTTAGAAATGGATGGGAAGATTACAAAAACAGACTTGGTGATCCTAAGCATGAAAGATTTTGACGTTATATTTAGAATGGACTGGTTGTCGAAAAATCATACAAACATTCGTTGCTTCGAAAAGGATGTAATTTTCCAATGACATGGTAAAGAAGAATTTTATTTCTTTGGAACAATAGTGAAACCTCTATCTTGACTTATATCACCAGCACAGGCTAAACGCTTGT